CTCTGCCCTTTCTGCTGGCCTCAGGTTCTCACAGCACAAATGGTGTGACATAATGGCATGGCACTTCCCCCAGTGCAGGAGGCTAAATAATGACCCCCCCCAAAGGCATCCAGGTCCTAATTCCTGAAACTGGTGAATGTCACCTTACATGGCTAAAAATGGCTTTGTGGATATGAAGTTCAGGATCCTGAAATGGAGAGATGACCCTGGTGGGCCCTAAAGGCAGCCCAAAGCATCCTTCTGAGACGGAAGCAGAAGGAGGTTTGGGGCACAGCAGAGGAGAAGGCATGAGAACGAGGTGATGCGGCCACACGCCAATGCATGCCAGCAGCCGGGAGGCCGAGGGCTCAAGAATTGAATTCTCCTCTTAAGCCCCAAAGGGAGGTGACCCGGCTGATGCCATGACTCCAGCCCAGGGCTGCAGGTTCCAGACTTTGAACCTCCTGACTGTGAGAGAATACACGTCTGTTCTGTGGTCATCTGTGACAGCAGCCACAGGAAGCCAGATCTTCCAAAATTACCTTCGTCCCAATCGAAACTTGTTTCTCAGTGGTGTTCATCCGTTTGGTGTCAGAACGACCAATCTCATTATGTCAGTTCACCCTAATAGCACTTCGTCACGCTCCCAGTGCCAATTCGGTTTTTAAAGGAGGGAATTGGTAATTCTCAAATTAATCTCGAATTGGTTAGATTCACATAAGAACATGAAGTGAATGGAAAATGTAAGCAGTGGGGTCCGATTTGAGGCCAGTGCGCAAAGGAGGTACATTGGCCTGCTTAGGTGTAGGGCTCCCCTCAAAGGCTATTTCCTTAGAATGGCTCTTCTGCCCACGCGTGGGGATCTGTAAGTGTGGAAGCTCCATGTTTGCTCCCAGTGGTTCCAAGGCCATCCCGCCCAGTGCCTGGCACACAGTAAATGCTGAGTTCTGGAGGGGAACGAATGATGACAGCAGCAATCAGAATGCCAGAGAGGAGGGGTGGCATTCCCAGAGCCAGTTCTGGAGCAGTCACTGCTGGCATTGGCTGGTGGCATGTCCAATGCCTGCAGCTTGGGTCTTGCCCATAAAACGGTAACCATTATCCATGTGACTGTAATCTACATTTCTCCTAACCTGAACCTTGTCCCCAAATGCCCCACATTTGAGGCAGTTTACAATAATCTATTTTCAGCAAGGTACACCTCAGTTTTCTGTGAAAATGAGCCCCATAAAGCAGGTGAAATCTTTCTGTGAAGTGCTGACTTCACCTCCCTGAGAACCATAAAAGAATGCCCCTCGGCTGGGCGAGGTGGCTCATGCCTGTAATCCCTGCACTTTGGGAGGCCGAGGTGGGTGGATCGCAAGGTCAGGCGTTCAAGACCAGCCTGGTCAATATTGTGAAACCCTGTCTCTACTAAAAGTACAAAAATTAGCCAGGTGTGGTGGTGGACGCCTGTAATCCCAGTTACTCGGGAGGATGAGTCAGGAGAATCGCTCGAACCCAGGAGGTGGAAGCTGCGGTGAGCCAAGATGGCACCACTGCACTCCATCCTGGTGACGGGGAAAGACTCTGTCTCGAAAAAAAAAAGAATGCCCCTCAACACGGTAAGCCAAAGCTCTGCAGGGCGGTGACTTCTGGACGGTTGCTGCAGTTAACACAGTGCAAGGAGTTGTAGACATCAGCCCAAAGAGAAAAGCCGATGGCCTAGAATAATCAGAGCCTGTAATGGACACAATTCACTGCACCTGCAACACGCTTTCTAAGTGACGTTAACATCAAATATGGAAAGCAACACCTCCAGCTCTCTGCTGCCTCCCTGGAAGTAGTCTCTCTCAATCAGTCTATTTATACTCCTTCCACTTAGTGCTTTTATTTTGTTTTCTTAGAGACAGAGTCTCACTTTGTGTAGTGGTGCAATCATGGCTCATTGCAGCCTGTCATTCCTAGGCTCTACCGATCCTCTCACCTCAGCCTCCTGAGTAGCTAGGACTACAGGCATGCACCACCACCATGCCTGGCTAATTTTTAATTTTTTTTTTTTACAGACAGGTCTCACTATGTTGCTCAGGCTAGTCTCAAACTCCTAGGCTCAAGCTCTCCTCCTGCCTCAGCCTCCCAAAGTACTAGGATGACAGGCGCAGGCCACTGCTTGGCCCTGGGTGCCTTTTAAAGACCAAAATTGACCGGGCTTTGTGGCTCACACCTGTAATCCCAGCACTTTGGGAGGCCAAGTCAGGTGGATCACCTGAGTTCAGGAGTTCAAGACCAGCCTAGCCAACATGGTGAAGCCTTGTCTCTGCTAAAAATACAAAAATGAGCTGGGCGCGGTGGTGCATGCCTGTAATCCCAGCTACTCAGGAGGCTGAGGCAGGAGAATCACTTGAACCCAGGAGGCAGAGGTTGCAGTGAGCTGAGATCATGCCCTTGCACTTCAGCCTGGGTAACAAGAATGAAACTCTGTCTCAAAAAAAAAGTCCAAAAATAAATCGTAAAATATGACCAAGTGAGAGACTGCCTATAGAAATAGCTTCAAAATTGCTGCCAAAATAATTCTTAAAGTCCCTCCCCAGTTTTCCTTCAATCAACAAAACTACCTTAAGGCCAGGCAAGTTGGTTTGGGACTATAATCCTAGCACTTTGGGAAACTGAGGTAGGAGGCTTGCTAGAGGCCAGGAGTTTGAGATCAGACCCTGTCCATACAAAAAAAAAATTAAGAGTTAGCCAGCACAGTGGCATGTGCTTATAGTCCTAGCTATTCAGGAGGTTGAGGCAGGAGGATTGCTTCAGCTCAATGGTTCAAAGCTTCAGTAAGCTATGATCTCACCACCCCTGCACTCCAGCCTGGGCCACAGAGCAAGACTCTCTCTCAAAAACAAAAAACAACAAATCAACCATTTTTGAGCATCTAATAAAAGTATTCTTTTTCTCTCTTTCTTTCTTTTTCTTTTTTTTTTTTTTTTTGAGATGGAGTCTCGCTCTTGTTGCCCAGGCTGCAGTGCCATGACACGATCTCGGCTCACCACAACTTCCACCTCCTGGGTTCAAGTGATTCTCCTGCCTCAGCCTCCCAAGTAGCTGGGATTACAGGCATGTGCCACTACACCCAGCTAATTTTGTATTTTTAGTAGAGATGGGATTTCCCCATGTTAGTCAGGCTGGTCTCGAACTCCCAACTTCAGGTGAGCCGCCCGTCTCAGCCTCCCAAAGTCCTGGGATTACAGGCATGAGCCACCGCGCCTGGCCAGCATCTACTACTTTCAAACCCTAGAGGGACATGCAAGAAATAAATTGTTGCATATAGAGTAGGTGGAAGTCCTGGAAACATCCTACTGAGTGTTTGAACAAGGAGGGCTGTAAAACCCATCTTGTGCACAGGAAGTTTTTAGTCTATGCAGTTAATTCATTCCAGTTTGGTCAACCTGAAAGTTCCCTTCACCTTGGCTTCCCACTGTCCTTCTGGGGCGGCCATTCCTACCTGGGATTTATCATCGGGTAGCCACAGTGCGCTGCAGCTTCAGTACAGCAGTGCTGCTCATGCTCCACAGTACGCACACCAGCTGGGAGCGTTGTTCGAAGCAGGTTCTGATTCAGTGAGGTCAGGGGAGAGGCCTATGATTCTGCATTTCTTTCTTTTTTTTTTTTTTTTATTTGAGACAGAGTCTCACTCTGTTGCTAGGCTGGAGTGCAGTGGCATGATTTTGGCTCACTGCACCCTCCGCCTCCGGGGTTCAAGCCATTCTCCTGCCTCAGCCTCCTGAGTAGCTGGGATTACAGGCACGTGCCACTACACCCAGCTGATTTTTGTATTTTTAGTAGAGACAGGGTTTCACCATGTTGGCCAGGATGGTCTTGATCTCTTGACCGCACCGGGCCTGATTCTGCATTTCTAACGAGCTCCCGGGTGGTGAGATTCTGCTGTTCTGAGGACCACATTTCCAGGAGCAAGGAATTAGGGCACTTAGTTTTTACTGAAAACAAATGCAACATCTGGAGGCATGAGATTCTAGTGGCATGTGTGCAACGCTTCCAATTCTTCTTCCAAAGGGTAGAGAAGGTGAAAGCACTTGCCTCATTGCATAGATTGTGGTGCTGATGAGCAACCGTGGCTTCACTGCTGCTACCTTCACTGCCAGGTACTAAAGCTAAAAGAGAGCTAGAGGCCGGGCGCGGTGGCTCACGCCTGTAATCCCAGCACTTTGGGAGGCCGAGGCGGGTGGATCACGAGGTCAAGAGATCGAGACCATTCTGGTCAACATGGTGAAACCCCATCTCTACTAAAAATACAAAAAATTAGCTGGGCATGGTGGCACGTGCCTGTAGTCCCAGCCACTCAGGAGGCTGAGGCAGGCGAACTGCCTGAAC